GGAGGGGCGGGAAAATACTCCCCATGGCCGGAAGTTCCTGGTCAGGTGAGTGTGGCTGGCAGAGGCAAGGAGGCTGCTTTTGTCCCTCTTTCACAGTTGGTGGCTTTCCCCAGCAAGATACGCCTGGTCATCGCTTACTAGCCTGTGATCCCAGGTGGGTTTGCCGACTTTCCTCAGCTCTTCCCTACGGAGTTGGGGAAACTAGGGGAAGCAAGCTGCTCAGATGTTTGAGGGGGAATTCGGAGAGGAGGGATGACAAGTGTCCAGGCCACACCCATAGTACTGTTTCAGTATCAGCTACTATAGTTATTAATTATGTTGTGTGTGTAGGAGTGTGTGTGAGTGTACTCTCTGGGGATTACTCACTGTAGGTAAATACCACTGAGCTATGAACTCAACCCTAGCTTTTATTATAAGTTTTTCTTGTATAAATGATATTTATTTATATATATATTAAAATATTTGCAAGTAGGGTGTTGGTGGCGCACGTCTTTAATCCCAGTACTCGGAAGGCAGAGGCAGGCGGATCTCTATGAGTTTGAGGCCAGCCTGGTCTACAGAGTGAGTTCCAGGACAGCCTCCAAAGCCACAGAGAAACCTTGTCTGCACTTTCTGGTTCTGCCTGGGCTCTATTTCACTGGCCAGGCCTGACTAAACAAGTGCATTCTATCTTCAGAACAACAGTTCAAAATCCCCTCAGCACTGCTGTCACCCCTATGCTATGCTGGACTCTGGGCTGTTCTCAGAAATGCAACCTAATAGCACCCCTCCCCCTTTTTTCCAAGTTAGGGTTTCTCTGTGTAGCTTTGGAGCCTGTCTTGACACACCCTCTGCAGACCAGGCTGGCCTGGAACTCACAGAGATCCACCTGCCTCTGCCTCCCAAGTGCTGGGATTAAAGGCGTGAGCCACTGATGCCTGGCTACTCCTCCCCTTTTGTTTTTGTTTTTGTTTTTTTTTTTGAGACAGGTTTTCTCTGTGTAGCTTTGGAGCCTGTTCTGGAACTAACTCTTGTAGATCAGGGTCTCAGCATTATGAAGGTTGAAGACCACTGTGCTAAAGCATCTCCTTAACCACTCCCCATTCCTTTTTAAAGAAAGATGTTGCTGCAGATTACAAAATGACTTCATTGCCGCCAAATCCATAAGGTAAAGAAATCCTACAGTTTGGTCTGGATGGCTACCTAGTAACCCATTGTTTGGTATATTTAGATCATCTCTAGAGGGCAGAGAAGAATTGGCATTTACTATCTGTCTTTACTTGGCCTTGTGACTCTTTAATTCTTGCAATCCACATGGGGATGAAATAAAATCTCAGTAAGTGCCATCTTCAAGGCTAGAGTACCTCCCTCGGCACAAGGCCCTGGATTTGATCTCCAGAACCGCCCAGGCCCCTAACATCTGCTGCTGTTTCACTTCTGACTTATTCATGTGCATTAATTTTTTCTTGGCTATATATTCAGTGTTGGCATCATCTCCTAATTTATATATATTCACTTGGTCGGTGAAAGACAAACAGACATTCTTCACTTTAATTTAGACTGTTGTGTGTCTTTTCCCAGGGAGACAGGAACAAACATTTGCTTGATGCTGTGGATGGGTGTAGGAACAGGTTCATTTTCTCTGCCAATTAAAAGATTAAAAGGCGGAAAAGAAGCCTTATGGGAAACCTTTGGGGCGTGCTGGTGGACCACCATATGATGCTTGGACAATCTGGGTTCTTAGTCTCTCTCATTAATAAAGAATTTAAGAATGGATTCAAATGGAAGTTTGAGGACAATTTACTAAAATCAAACAAAACAAAACAACTTCAAAAAGACAGAGGGCGGGCAAGCAGTAAATCTTGCAGCTGTCCAGAGAAGACTTGAGAAGATTAAACTGGCATGGAGGCCAGCCACGTAGCAGGGATGGGGCTCTAGAGAAAGATTAAGAAAGCCCAAAACATGGGCTGGAGAGATGGCTCAGCCGTTAAGAGCACTGGCTGCTCTTCTAAAAGTTCTGAGTTCAAATCCCAGCAACCACATGTTGGCTCACAACCATCTGTAGCGAGGTCTGGTGCTCTCTTCTGGCCTGCAGGCATACATGCAGACAGAATACTGTATACACAATGAATAAATCTTAAAGAAAGAAAGAAAGGAAGCCCAAAACATCTGTGAGTTTAAAAGCAGGGGTTGTCCGACTTGCATGGAAAATACCTTTACCAGCTAAGCTATTTTGTGGCTATATTATTATTATTATTATTACTTTTTGTTGTTGTTTGTGTTTTTGAGACAGGGTTTCCATCACTCTGGAACTCACTCTGTAGACCAGGCTGGTTTCAAACACGAGTTTGAGACCACCTGCCTCAGCCTCCTGTGTGCTGGAACTAAAGGCATGTGCCACCACTGCCCAGCTTTATTGTTTTTGAGGCATGGTTTCTTTTATCCCAGACTGACCTCATAATTGCTATGTAGCTGTGTGTGGATTTGAGCTCTTGATTCTACAGGCCCTGCCTCCAAATTGCTGGGATTAGAGATGAGTGCCACCACGCCCAGTTTATGTGCTACAGAGATCTGATCTCAGAGCTTGTGTGTGCCGGACAAGCCAACACTCTACCAGTTAAACATCCAGCTCTGTCCTCTCCTCTTTGCTCTTTGAGACAGTGCTCCAAGCTGGCCTGGAACTCACTGTGTAGCCCAATCTGAACTTGTGACACTCCTGCTTTTCTGCCTCCTGAGTGCTGCAACTATAGGTTTGTATCACCATTCCTGGCCTTTCCTTCCTTCCTTCCTTCTTTCTTTGTTTCTTTTTTTTTTGTAAAGAATAATGAATGAAATCATATTTTACTATTTGAGTATCTGTTGCTTCCTTCTTTTTTTTTCCCCCCGAGACAGGGTTTCTCTGTAGCTTTGGAGGCTGTCCTGGAATTCACTCTGCAGACCAGGCTGGTCTCGAACTTACAGAGATCTGCCTGCTTCTGGCTCCCAAGTGCTGGGAATAAAGTTGGGTGCCACCACCACCTGGCTACTTTCCTCACTTTTAATAAGGCATATCTATCTTTCCACTTGTGCTCAAGTAGATATTTAATGAGCCCCCAAGTAATAGACATTAGCTTATTAAAATAGTTCACTGTTATAAAAAAGGATGAAAATGAATTGCATTTTGCTGGGTTCCCCAAAGAACACACAATTGTGTGTGTGTGTGTGTGTGTGTGTGTGTGTGTGTGTATGTATTCAAGTGTGTAAAAAGAAACTGCTTAGTAATTGTGGAGGCTCATGTGTTTAGAAACATCAGGGTAGCCCTCAGGCTGCAGACACATGGAAAAGCCAATCTTGTTGCAGTTCAGATCTGAAGGCCTTCTTGAAGCTTCCCTTTTGCTTGGGGAGGGCAGGCAGTCTTGTTTTAATCAATCCTTTAACGGACTGGATGAGGTCCATCTATATTATAGCAGGCAATCTGTTTTATTCAAAATCTGATTTAAAAAATTTTTATTTTATACTCTATGCATGAGTGCTCTGCATATAAACCTGCACCCCAGAAGAGAGCATCAGATCCTATTATAGATGGTTGTGAGCCATGATGTGATTGCTGGGAATTGAACTCAGGACCTCTCAAAGAACAGCCAGTGCTCTTAACCCCTGAGCCATTTCTCCAGTCACTCAAAAATCTGGTTTGATCATTAACTTTTATTCAAAAACATCTTAGAATTATCTAGACTAGTGTTTGATCAACTAATCCTTGGCATAGCTAAGTTGACATGCAAAATGAACAGCTTGCACTCAAAATTCTGAATGAAACCCCTGCCTTGTCATTCCTGCTTCTATTTCACAAGCTCCTTTGTCACTAACTCTTGTCACTCTGCTCTTTGTCCTCTGCTCACTAACTGTCCTGTGAAGAAGAAGAGAGCTGAGTGTGGTAGTACACAGTCACAATCCCTAAACTCAAGAGACAGATAAGGAGCCAACGACAGCTCACGTTAATGACTCCACCAAAGTCCAACTTGGCAAACCAATGGGTGTATTGGGGTTATTTACTGAAGAGTCATTGAGGGGTAACTTATTAGTTCAGTGGTACATAGCTTATCTAGGATGTGCAAGAACTTGGATTTAATGCTTAGCATTGGGTGTGTGTGGAAATAGTTGGTTTTATCTAACCTGTTTCTTACATCTATGGGTTTTATTGCTTTTTGGATATATTAATAGATGCTTACAATGGTTCATTCAGTAGCAAGTCTTCAGAAATAAACTCATCACAGACTCATCAGTTCTCGAAGGAAAAAAAATACCCCAACAACCCACAAACAAACACACAAAGAAAACCTAGCATGGCTCCAAGGAGAAAGCAAACAGGCAGGAAGTCCTTCATTTCCCATCGCGTTCCCTCTGCTGGTGGGATTCACTGCCGGACAGTGAGCGTCCTCACAGAGGGGAGATATCAGATAAACTCGGCTCTGGTGTGTATGTGTCCTTGTAGGTGGTATCACGTGTGCTGCAACTGTGGGTGGTGGGCTTTCGGATTAGTGTCAATGTTTTTTGAGACAGCGTGTTACTTTTTAGTCTTAGCTGGCCTGGAATCACTGTGTAGATAAGGCTGGCCTTGAATCACTGAGATCTGGCCTGCCTCTGCCTCTTGAATCATTGTCATCTCTTTAACCCGGACTGAAGCTTTTGGGTGCAGAAATTCTGTCTTTTTTGCCGTATACTCAACATTTTGAACGGCTGTGTGTAGTACACAACTACTGAATGAGAGAGGTGATCTGGTTGCCAAAAAAAAAAAAAGAAGAAGAAAAGAAAAGCAAAACTAGAGGGAGGAAGGTTCTGTAGAGGAGTGACTGAGAAAGAAGAACAAAGAAAAAGTAAAGGAGGGCGGGGAAAAATCAGTGATAGAACCAGTTCCAGGCTCCAGCCCCCAGTTTCTGGGAGGTGGAGTAGAGGAAAATTGTACTGCTATGTGCCTCCTCCGCGGCAGGGGGCGCCGTTTGATTCAGCTAGTTTTTGGGCGTGGCACATGGGGGCGTGGCCACAATCAAGCGAGGCTGGAGAGGCTGAGGCAAGGTTCCGTAGCTCCAGGTGAGTGTCGCCTACTGTGGCTCACAGCAAGATCCTCTTGGCCCTACGTGACACTGGAGTGCCGAGGAGGCAGAATCCGGGCCTCGGAGACTGGGCCGACTGGCTCCTGCAGGCCTCAGTTTCCCCAGCGGTGAGTGGGGGATGGGCTGGCTGCTTGGGCCCTTGGCTTGCTCCTGGTTCCCGCCTGGCGGCCAGGCCTTGTCCTGGAGGTCCCATCCCTCCTCCAGCCCAGCCTGGTGGCTGGGGCCAAACCTAGATGTGAATCTAGACCAACTGTGCGACCTTGGGCAAGTCACGTCCCCTGCATGCCTGTCCTTTTAGGGCTGACTTAGGCAGTATGCGGGCAAGGGGATGGCGCAGCAGGTGAAGGCGCCTGACGGTGGCTTGTTCTCTGACCTCCCACACCACTGCCGTGGCACGTGAGCACACCTCTACTCCAATAAGTGAATAAAAAAAGAAAATGAAAAAAGATTGCTTTGAAATAGGCAGCATGCACCCTTACCTGATAGGGTTTTCAGAGCCCAGTATAGGTTCAGAGTACATTAAACCACAGTTTCTTTGCGTTACTGTCGCTCTAGTTGCACTTCTGTGATGATGTGATTATCATTTTGATTGCCTGGTGTTGTATTCTTTGTTGTGCTGGAATGGAATCCCGGACCTTCTGTGATATAGAGAACTGAACCACGTTCTTTGTCTAATACTCTGTGATTTCCTCCCCAGTAAAGGAGCAGAAACCGCTGTCCTCACATCTTTTATCTCCGTGGTGAATGAGTGGGGGAAGTTTGAGGCTTAGTACTGGCCAGTCTGGGGGTCAGTGGTTGATTCTGAGGTTCCTGCTTTGTCTGAAAGAGGCATTTTAGTAATTAAAGTGTTTGATGAGCATGGTGGAACATGACTTTAATCTTAACTGAGGCAGGCAGATCTCCTGAGTTCAAGGTCATCTTGGTCAACATAGGGAGTTCCAGGACATCTCAAGAAAGAAGGGCGCTAAGCGGCGTGATTGGGTCTTATTTTTATGGCATGATGCCTGGAACAGCAGCTCTTCGTTCTTCGGCGCCTCCCTCCCCCTCTTACTGTTTTTAATCTTTGTATTGTAGCTCTGACCTAGGCGAAGGGAGGCGAAGGGCTTTTGCTGGGTCAGCATCTTCTGCCCTGGCTTGCCCTAGGCCTGCAGTTCAGTGCTGATTTCAATGCTGCCCTTTGTTGAAAATGTTTGAGAATCTGCAGCTCTAAGGTCTCATTTTGCCAGGTCTGGTGACAGTGAACTCTTTCTGGTTGGTTGTTTTCTTCCCTTTTTTTTGAAAGACATTTATTTCTTTCCCATGTGTAACTGGACAACTATAGTCTACAGTATTTTTCTTTTTTACTTCCAAAGACTTGTAAAGAACAATGGGATGGAAAGATGGCCTTATTGTGAATAAGGCCGTTACAGATACTTGTTTACATGATTTATAGGAATCTGTTTTTTTCTTTTATTTCTTCTTCTTTTTTTTTTTTTTTTTTTTTTTGGTTTTTCGAGACAGAGTTTCTCTGTATTGTTCTGGAGGCTGTCCTGGAACTTGCTCTGTAGACCAGGCTGGCCTCAAACTCACAGAGATCCGCTTGCCTCTGCCTCCTGAGTGCTGGGATTAAAGGCATTCACCACCACTGCCTGACTCATGAAGTATATTTTAGTAGGAAGGGTTCCTTAATGTTTCTTCTTATTACCAAACCTTAATGTTTCTACTGTTTGGTCTTAGACATTTCATCATCTCTCTCAGGAGTAATCAATTGATTAAGGGAAAAACAGATCTTTGCAGGCCCTAAATAACAGGTTTTTTTGTTGTTGTTGTTGTTTTGGTTTGGGTTTTTTTTTTTGTTATTGTTGTTGTTTTCTTTTTGGTTTTTTTTTTTTGAGACAGGGTTTCTCTGTGGCTTTGGAGGTTGTCCTGAACTAGCTCTTGTAGACCAGACTGGTCTCGAACTCACAGAGACCCATCTGCCTTTGCTTCCTGAGTGCTAGGAATAAAGGCATGCGCCACCACCGCCCAGCTATAGCTGTCACTTTGTCCAGCAGTATGTGGCACTGAAGGGAGGGAGACGGCCCAGCAAAGGGGGCTAAAATCAGTGAAATAAAGATTCAGGTTTTCTGGACTAGAGAGATGGCTCAGAGGTTAAGAGCACTGACTGCTCTTCCAGAGCTCCTGAGTTCAATTCTCAGCAACTACATGGTGGTGGCTCACAACCATCTGTAATGAGATCTGGTGCCCTCTGCTGGCCTGCAGGCATACATGCAGACAGAATGCTGTATACACAATAAATAAATAAATCTTAAAAAAAGATTCAGGTTTTCTTAAGTCTTTTGGGGTGTGGTGTTACATCGGTGAGCTGCATCCCCAGTTTTACAAATGATAACATTGCCACTGCTGTTCTCAGCTTCCGCTCACCTCTGTCCTGTTCTGTAATCTCATCTTTCCTAGATGGCTTTGTTGGCTTAGACATTCTTCTTTTCTCTGTTGCACAGAAATGGAATTCATAGAGTATCTCTGGGCTGTAATTACTCGTCCTCTGTTGTGTGTGCTTTGGGTGGACAATTACAGGGTGGGGGTGTGGGCTAGAAATAAGCTGGTATTGATGTTGTAAAGAATGGTCTTCTAATTTAATCTTGAAATATCTTTTTTAGGACTTAAGATGTCTTCTTTGATCAGGCGCCATTTAGGACATGGGAGACCTTCAGTAGCTAAAAGGTAAAATGAAATATTTTTAAATGTGTCTTTTTAAAAATCCATTTGGGGTAAAAATATCAAAATTAGATGAAGACAGAGTGCAGGTGTCAAGATTTTTTTTTTTTTTTTTTGGTTTTTCGAGACAGGGTTTTTCTGTGGCTTTGGAGGCTGTCCTGGAACTAGCTCTTGTAGACCAGGCTGGCCTCGAACTCACAGAGATCCGCCTGCCTCTGCCTCCCGAGTGCTGGGATTAAAGGCGTGCGCCACCAACGCCCGGTGCAGGTGTCAAGATTTAACTTTGACAATTACTTCTGCTCTTACTTTAATTTTTAGTCCATATAACTAGAAAAACGACATCCTTTTCATTTTCTGGTTGCAAAAGCAATGCACGATTTGTTTTGTTTGTAAATAAACTATTTAGGAATGATAACATACTTACAAGAAGCTGAAAGAAATACTTTATAAATATATTCACAACCCTGTGGTGTGTGGTATGAAGCAAGCCCCAATCCTGTGTAACTCATCCCTGGGCATTCACGAGGGTTAAGCTATGTGGATTCTTGACGCTCATTTTTATATTACTAGTGAAGGTCAGAAATTGTAAATTCTGTTTCTGTATTGCAGGTAGTCTGTAAACATCATTGTTTATGAATATTCATTAACTTTCTAGCTCTGCAAATGTCAGAATAGCTGCTATCCAGTTTTTGTTTTTTCCTTCTGTTTTTAAAGATTTAAAAAAGTTAATTGTGCTTATATGTGTATCTTTGTGTGTGTGTGTGTGTGTGTGTGTGTGTGTGTGCACGCATGTGTGCATGCCTGTGGAGGCCAGAGGCAGCAGATCCCTTGGAATCAATCCATTGGGAGTCATATGACATGGGTGCTAAGAGCCGAACTTGGGTCCTCTGGAAGAGCACTCTGTGCTTTTGACCAGCTCACCAACTGTTGTTTTAACAGTTTTATCCACATATATTAATTGTACAGAAAACAGGTGTCATTGTGACATTTCTTTTCTTTTCTTTTTTTGAGACAGGGTTTCTCTGTATTGTTTTGGACGCTGTCCTGGAACTCACTCTGTAGACTAGGCTGGCCTCGAACTCACAGATTAAAGGCGTGCGCCACCAACACTCGGCTCATTGTGACATTTCATACATCTGTGTACTAGACTTAGATCACGCCACCCCCCTGTCTCTTCCCCACTGGCTAAATTTGACATGAGAGAGAAAAGTTGTAATCCTTGTCATTCAGAGTCTGGTTTATCTGGTGTAACAGATGATCTCCAGTTTCATCTGCTTTCCTGAAATGGCGTTTCTTTTTTCTTAGTGTATGTGCAGGTGTGTGTAGTTTCCTGAACTGCATTTCCTTTTACTTAGTGTGTGTGCAGGTGTGCAGGTGTGTGTAGTTGTGGATGCATGCACGAGTGTGTCATTCTCAGGAAGCATCTACCTTGAATTTTGAGATAGGGTTTCTTACTGGCCTAAAGTTCACCAGTTAGGCTAGGAGAGCTGGCTGGCCAGCAAGCCCTACCTGTTTTTGCCCCCTCAGAGCTAGGTTTACAGGTAGGGACCACTATACTCATATCCATCCTCCTCATTAACTCTATCCATCAAACTTAAACCTCCCCATGGCAAGCACTTCCCTACTGAGCTGTCTCCACAGCTAATTTTGGTTGTTAACACACCTGGGGGGAAGGAGTCCGATTGGCTTGTAGGCATGTCTGTGGGTGTTTTCTTGATTGCTAAATAATGGAGGAGGCCCTGACCCACTGTGGATGGTGCGACTTATATGCGGGTGGGCCTGGGCTGTGTAAGAAAGCCAGGTGAATAGGAGCAGGGAAAGCTAGTCAGGAAGCAATGTCCCCCATAGTCTTTGCTTTTGCTCCATCTCCTGGTTCCAGAGTGTTTGCTCTGGCTTCTCTTGGTGGCACACTATGATATGGACATATAAGCCAAATAAAGTCCCCCCCCCTCCCCGCCAAGTTGTTTTTAGTCAGTGTTTTATCATAGCACTTGCAAGTTAGGACACCAGCCCTCCATTTTTCTCTACAGCTGAGTAATAATCAATATATATGTTGTGCCTGTGTGTATGTATGTGTGTGAGCACCACATATTCTTTTTTTGGGGGGGGTTCAAGACAGTTTTTCTCTGTATTGCTTTAGAGCCTGTCTTGGAACTCACTCTGTAGACCAGGCTGGCCTTGAACTCACAGAGATCCGCCTGCCTTTGCCTCTTGAGTGCTGGGATTAAAGGTGAGCGCCACCAACACCTGGCTCATTACATATTCTTTATTCATTTATCTGATGATGGGTTTCTTTGACTATCGTGAACAGTTTCAAGACAGAAGTAGATATGCAGGAATCTCTGTTGTATGCTGACTTTGATTCCTTTGATGAATTTTGGGAGTGATTAGTATAGTTCTTTTTAAGGAACCTCTATGCTGATTTCCATAATTGCTATACAAGTTACTAGAACAGCTATAAGGAGATTTGGTGCATTTGTCTTGGTGATAGCCATTCTGACTATGATGAGATCCTCTAGCTTCTGCCTCCTGAGTGCTGAGATAATAGACTTGTGCCACCACACCTAGCTCAATATGATTTTGAAATGCATTTCATTTTCCTAATGGCTGGTTGTAGATGTTGAACATGATATGCTGCCATGTGTAGCAGTGAGAAGAAACCCGTGAGAGTTGACTCTTCTGTGTAGTTGCAGGGTCGGAACTCAGGTCATCAGTAACAAGTGCCTTTATTTGAGCCATCTTGCCAGCCTGTATTTAATGTTTTGAGTTCTTTATGTTTTCTGGGTATCAGTTCTGGTCAGAGGAAATGGTTGATAATCCCTCTCTTGTCCCGTAGGTTCTGGTTACTGTTAATGGCTTGCATTGCTGTGCAGGGCTTTTAATTTGAAGTGTTCCATTTGCTAACCCTGGAGTCCTGTGCCTGTTTGGAAGTCTTTCCCCATTTCTCTCTGGAAGTCTCAAAGTTCAGGTCTTATATGAAGGCCTGTGATTCTAGGATAAGATGACAAGTAGGGATCTAGAGGACATTCTTCAATGTGCGGATATCCAGTTTACCAGCACCATTTGCTCAAAAGGCCATCTTTTCTCCAAAGCATGCTTTTGGAACTTTTGTATAAATTAAGTTGCTCAGACTCAAAAAGACGAATACTATGTTTTCCCTCATATATGGAACCTAGAGCCAGGTTTATATGTGTATGTGTGTTGTTTTGTATATGTGTATAGGTTTGTAGCTCACTAAATTAGAAAGCTGACCAGGAGCAGGAAGGAAGGTATACTAAGGGAGGGGTAAAGGGGAGAACAGGATAATGTCCCCTGGAAGTAGAACAGGGAATTGGATTGGGGGAGGATTGTATGGGCACCTGCAAGAAGGTAGGGGTGAGAGAGTGTAAATTAGAACAAAATATAATGACACATATGAAAATGCCACGGTGAAATTAATTGGTTTTAATAAGGGACTGAGGACATGTTTCAGTGGGTTAAACACTTGTTTCAAAAACATAATAACCTGAGTTCGGATCTTTAACATCCACATAAAAAGCCACTTTTTTGAATTTACCTGGGGAAAAGTCTTTGGTAGAATCTTTAAAAGTCTTCTAAATAAAGGGTTGTATTGTCTGCAAGCAGGAAGACTTTTTCTTTTGTATTTATATTCCTTTTATTGAAAGTAGACACGGTTTCCCCTCCCTCTACCCTTCCCAGTTCCTCCCCACCTCCCCTCTGATCCAGCTTTACTCTCTCGTTAGGGATACTATAACAAAATAGAATATAAGTTAAAACAAAAACAATCACATTGGAATTGGACAAGACAAACAAACAGAAGGAAAAGAGCCCAAGAAAAGGCACAGGAATCAGAGACCCACCCGTCTACACACCCAGGAGTCCTATGAAATCACTAAGCTGGAAGCCATGTTACGCATGCAGAGGACCTGGTGCAGACCTGCGCATGTCTGTGCTTGCTGCTTCAGTCTCTGTGAGTTCGCTCGTGTTGATCTAGAGGGCCTTGGACTCCTGGGGTCCTCCATCCCTGTCGCATCCGCCACGCAGCCTCTCTGACTCTTACACTCTTTCCGCCGCCTCTTTCAAGGGGGCTTCTCTGAGCTCTGAGAGGAGGGATTTGACGTAGACATCCCGTTTAGGGCTGAGTGTTCTAAGGTCTCTCACTCTGTATGTTGTCTGGCTGTGGGTCTCTGTATTTGTTCCCACTTGCTGCATTATCTCTGGTGATGGCTGAGCAAGGCACTGATCTTTGAGTATAGTGGCGTCTCAGTAGGAGTCATTTTATTGCTATTTTTTTTCTTTTTGGACCCATAGTATTTGATTTTACCCTAGGTCCCCAGTCTATACAGTGTTTGGTTCTTGATCACCCAAGCATATTGGGATGGGTTCCAGTCTCCTGGAATGGGCCTGAAGTCATGTCTCATGTCTAATTGGTTGGTCACTCCCTCAAGCTTTGTGCCACCATTGCCGTAGCGTATCTTGTAGGCAGGAAACCATCGTAGATCTAAGGGTTTGTGGCTGGCTTTGTATTGATGCTTTTCTTCCAGTAGACTGCAGAGTACCTTCCTGTATCAAAGACACTAGAATGTCTCATATTCAACTCCTTTGGCCAACAACTTATTAGATAGAATTCAGTCCTGGTACTAGAAACTTCATCTTGGTGACAAGAGATATCCAACTGGGGCTCTGTCTCCCCGTTATTTGGTGCTTTCATTTAGATCACCTTCATATATCTGTATATTTTAGGAAGCCTCTGCTGTAGTAGGTTTCTATACTACCCCTCAAATAGTCCTTAATTTTAGCCATCTCTCCCAGGATTCCCTCCCTCATCCCCCTCCTGATCTAGAAGGAACCATTGCCTGGCTGTTGCTGCTGCTGCCGCTTTTTTTTTTTTTTTTTTTTTTTTTTTTGGTTTTTCGAGACAGGGTTTCTTTATGTAGCTTTGGAGCCTATCCTGGCCCTCACTCTGTAGACTGGGCTGACCTGGAACTCACAGAGATCCACCTGCC